GTATATTGAAGGATTTTTATATGAAGACTCGATAAATTGCTGATTCAATGAGTCTGAACAGGAATCTATAATATAATCTATAATAGTTTGGAATTTTTTGGATTCTTTTAATTGAGTCATTTCACATCATTTTCGGTCTCCCAAAACGTCTCTCCAAAATTGAAATTACTTTATTTACTTCCAAAGTGAACGACAAAACAGATTCCACACTTTCTCTGGCTTTTCCACGAAGAAAAGTGTTTAATTTCGCTATATTTTCCCTTTTATCTAAAAAATGTCAACTTTATTTTCATCCATAGACCCCGCAAATTGACTCGACTACGCTTTTTCATCCCTACTAAAAGAAAAAACATTTATCGGACGGATCACCTGAATCAGTTAGCTTTCCTGTTGGTATTTCATTTTCCCAATATTAAACAAGATATATTTCTAGACTTTTAGTGTTTTCTGAATCAGAATAACCTATTTCTACTTTCTATAACTCGAATTCTAACCGCTTACCTCTAGTTCTGCGTTTTTCAGTTCCAAAATACCTTTCAGCCCCTCTATTTTTTGTGAACTATTTTTGGATTTTGATGTCTTCAAAGATTTTCCGTTTTCTACTTCTGTTTCTCTTCTACTTTCTGTTTCTTCTTCATTTCACATGCATTGTCCATGTTTTATACACGTTTATCTATCTCACAGAAGTTATATAGATCATTATATAGATCACATAATCTATATTATTTTTATGACTGACAACTGCTCAAGTTATAATTTTTTATTTAGCCAACTGACTTTTTATTAGAATTCAACATACAAAAAAATCAAATCAGATGAAACAGATTCAACGAAAAATAAAGTATTCATAAATATTCTTCTTCCGCAACAGTCTTCCTAAGCTTCCAGCCAAAAAACCAAAACCCATCCATTGATCTTGAATATTTTCCGATGTTCCGATGTCATGGTTATAATATCGAAGGTAGCTGTGACATTATCAACAGGGTCTTTCCGGCTCACAAATGTCAGCGATTTCAAAGTTATGATATATAGATTGTTTTTCCAAAAACGGCTTTGAGTGAATGGAAGAAGATCCGCCTATGTAAGAGAATCAGAATCAATCTGAAGCAACAGCCTTGAGGAATAGGGATAACGAGGACGTTTGAAAATAAAGTGAACCATGGAAACAACTGAAAGTATCATCAAATGTTATCCAATCCTGAAGACTTCTGAAGACAAAACCTCTTAAACGGCAAGTGCTTGTATAATTTCACAGCTTTCTATGTTAGGCAAAATCATGTGTGTTTCATTTTCGATTCTCTACTGGAGCTCAGGACTGTTTTAATTTGAGGAGAGATCATTTCAATGTTTTGGTACGTTTACGAACGTACGTATATTCAGGTTGAGCAATATTGCCACGTTAGGTTTTCGAATGGAAATTCACAACTTTTTTGAATCAAATCACAACAGAAAATAAATGAAAACCTGCTTCAAATTGAAGAGATATCTAAAAAAAATATAATTTGGTCATAAATCTTTCGAAGTCGTTTGATATGTTATTTGGGCGTGTTAATCCAGCTGATATCATCATTCAGTTACAACGAAATCAACTATTTTCAAGTTTGGGAACAGAAAATAATCCGATGGGGCTAAATCTGGCGAGTAGGGTGTTTGCGATAGCAATTTAAACTTTAATTCGTTAATTTTGGTAATTGCGGGTGACTGAGCTGAATTATGTTTCGATCAACTTCTGCTGTTAATATCACGGTCGTAATACTGAAGATGGTTATGCTATCAATGTCAGGGGAACGCATGTGATTACCATAGAACATTTGAAATCACACATGAAATACCAATCCCAATACCGATCCCTAAAAATTTCAAAATAATGGGTTGGTATGGCAATAAAGATACCCTCATTTCGGACAAATTTTCAGATAATTTCTTCATTTGTAATATTGACTGTCTGCCAAACTAAGCTGACGCACATACCACACATTTATTTACTCAATGTTCGGGAGTCATACGTATCTCAACAAGTATTCAAGAGGTAGTTGTTGATTTATTCGAGTAAATCTCAAAATTTAGAATTTCTTTTGAACTTTGTGGACCAGTGCAGTTGGGCTCAATTATAAAAAAATATAGTAATGGTCATGGTAATCAAATAATTGCTACTATCAATTTCAACACTTTGTTATCGTGTCTCTATCAACAATTATCATCATGATAATGACAAAAATTTCTCCGAATTAATTATTGTGTGTGATACGTGTTTCTTGAAACAATTTATTACAGTCCGCTCAGTTTGACCGACATACTTTGTTGTCGCAATACTAGACGTTTTGTTTTTCGGAGTGCCAAAAACTTGTTAATATGTACCGGCAGTTTTGAAAGCCACTTCAATATTAAATTTTTCAAAAATTGACCATTTGACCATTGNTACATTTAGTTATATTTTATTGATAACAATGCTCAATTTAAGTACAAAAAACTATAATGTATATATACAGTTCATTCAACAAATCTTGAATAAAGAAAAAAAGTATAATTCGCAGAATAAATATTTTGTCAATACACAATAAATGGGGTACAAAATACAAATCGTGAAAATTGAATAATTTAGAAATAAATATAAACCTTAGGTATTATATTGGAATAAACTAAAATAACAAGAATAATTCTAGAAAAGAGTTCATAACCTGATTTTTACAATTCTAATTATTTACAAGTACTGGGTGTTTGACTTCAATTCCTGAAAAACGGCTGTCTGCCAACATTGTAAGTGCTCAAAGGTATTCCTCCGGCTTGTTTGTAAGCCTCATTTTGCTCGTAGTCTACGTCATAGTAGATGCCACTTTGATTCTGAAAAACAAATATTAGAGAATAGAGTTCTAAATTCCTTTTTGCAGATTGAACAAGATTTCAATATCGCAGAACAAAAATTCCAACGCATAACAGGTTTTACGTAGTTTTTCGCAGAGTGTATCTATATGTGGTGTTCATGTGAGTCTGTAAACATGTAAGGTATACTTTTCTGTGAAAATTAAATCAGAATCACCTTCATATATCAGCGCGTGAACTGTGACATATCAAATCGTCTGTAAATTTGAGAAAGAAGCGGTCCAAGTATAGATCCTTGGGTGAGACCTTTCTGGATAATTCGTGATTCACCTACAGTTTTCTCAAGAAAAACTTGTTTGATTCTATTCAGCATATATGATTTTATCAATTTGTGATTAGTTCTCCTCACGCCATAGCGTATCAATTTCTTAAGCAGAAGTTTATCTATAAATAAACCACAAGTATGTATTCTACAATCAGGAGCATTTTAGTTTTCTTATTCCTTGTGAATCCCGTTGATTTGTTTGTTAATCATAGAGAAAGAGGACAATTGTTGATTTTTGATCACTGGTTTTTTGTTTCTTACCAATTTTTGAATGAGTATGTTGTAATGTGATAGAAATTAAAACAGAGAGAAAACAAAATGGAAATCATCATCTGAAAAGTCAGTATTTCAAAATGTCCAAATGAAGCTTTGATAAAAAGTTCTTCATATAAACTTGCTAATTATTGGAAACATAAAAGCTATGAAGAATTGTCGAATCGATAAAAATTTTCTTTCACTATTTAATCATTTTGAAACCTCCGTTCATAAGTTTATGACATTTTTTCTGCTACCAAAAGATCTTATGATACACTGTTTGGAACCTTTGGTGTAGTAATGAATACTACTGGAGTTTTTTTCCAACACCAAATCGTTATTTTCAACACCTCGACACGTGTTTCGATCACCAAGTGATCATCTTCAAAGAGGAAGATTAATGTGTGTGATGTGAGTTTTCTAAACTTCGGAGCAGAATCGTGGATATTTCACTGGAACGGGCTTTCAGATAAGCTTTCACTGAATTTACTTTCAATTACCAGTATACAATACATTTCTGTTCAATTCTTAACTTTTCTCTTACAATATTTTTACGTGGCGTTCACCTTTGTCGCCTTGAGAAGTCTTCGGTTGTTGACAAAAATATTGAAAATCTCTTACTTCCCTTAGTCACCACCTCTCAATTTTCAAAACTACAAATTTCAACTTCATTATCAGAAAAATTGTCTATTCTATGATTTTCACATTTGTTCTTGAATTTAGATACATATTTACTTAACAATTATATACAGAAATAGTTAACCTTACTTATGTCTGAATATAAATATTCTTCAAAAGCATCACTTGATGTCCGTATCTACGGAAATGGTTCACAACAATAATTTTCGAGTTTTTCATCATTCCTAAATAATTACAATTAGTTCATTATGTCGTTTTCAATTTTTCATAACAGATATCAATTTGATTTCCTCTGACATTCATTCATAACCTATATCGGTTAACTGTTTTTTAAATTCAATGAATTTTGGTGCACAAATCTTGAGATTTAAATTTCCCACTCTTTTGTATTTGTTTCCTGCCAAGTAGGTGAATTTTAATACATGTACAGGGTGTCCTCGCTGTACTTCTGTATCCGAATTTTTCTGTGATGTTGTGAAAATCTCTACACATTGTTATTTTTGAGTCATTTTATAACAGTATATATGCATGTATGTATATGTATGTATACTTATATTTTTTTTTCAAGTTTCAGTTCTGAGTTATCTATTTTTGTGTGCTCTGTTCGTACTTATTTATGTTATAGTTAGTTCTTTGAATTATTGTTTATTCCCTGTTATAAACAATGTATGTTTCTTGGGAAAAATAAATTGTTATTCTTATTATTATTAGATCAAATGGTTTTGATACACTAGAAAGCAAATTACCTTTTCTGAAGTTTTCATACAAATTTGATGAATAGGTGGAAACATTGGCAATTATGAAATAATTAGCACATTTTTCCAGGAGATTATTTGGAATCTCATCATAACCACTTGCGCCAATTGAATTATGTAATATTCACATAAGCAATGCATGTTATATCTTGTTTTTCACAATTCACTTTTTAAAAAATTGGTTTATTTCTTTATAAACACTTGATTTGAATATTTGAATATAATATGAAAAACTTGGAACATTAACTGAATAAGTAATTGATAAAGAACTATACTGGAGAATGATTGAAACGTTAATGAACGTTGTTCTGACCTCGCAGGGTCTATTTATATATTTGGTATGGATAACAATATTTGAACAGTGTCAGCAATTGCTTTGTCTGGAACACAAGTGTTCATCTTGCTGATATTGCACAATTAGGACTTTTAGCTTGTAATTTAATACGTGTGAGGCGTTAATTCGCATATAACATGCATATAAAAATGGAGATACTACGGAAATATTGCTCTTCATGGGTCACAAATCTACCCCATCATAAGTTACTCAAAAAGCCATTGATTGTAAAAATCCTATTTCCCAAATGTGAATGATGGAATCAATTGAAAAGGAGGTTAGGTTGAACAGAAGAAAATTACATTTTTACCCCCAAATTATCGATTTTTTTCCACTCACCGCTATCGAAGCATTGCTCCTACTCTTGGGTCTGGGCACCTGGAAGTTCCTACCCAACAGATCAGCCTTGTCTTCTTCCTCGCTGGAGCTGGAATTGTCAAAAGGGCGCATGGCATGTATACTGGCTGCCCTTCCGGCCAGTTGTGCCTGCAGGTTCAGCCTGGGCATGGGAACGGGAGGGAGAGTACCATGGCCGTGGTGGTGGTGCTGTAAGGTGCCCATGGGTAGGCTCGGATAGCCGAACATAGCAGAGGATGGTCTAGTGGGAGCAGGGTGGCCTGGTTCCGGCTGGCAAATATATCAGAGATATGAGTATATTTTTGGGAAAGAAAGGTTGGGTTTGTACAGAAACATTTTGGAATTTTCCAATAAAAGGAAGACAGCAATCAATCTCAAGCTGAACTCTTCACAAAAATGAGTAGATCATGTGAAGAAGTGAGTTTCGAATACAAACTGAAAGAACAAGCTGTCTCGAAACAATTACTTTCATTGAAAAACATTCTTTCGAAACAACTACTTTAACAGGGTGGGCCATCGAAAACTAGACATGGAGGTTTTGGGTACTGATCTGGTAAATCCTCAAAACGCTCAGACAGGTCGATTTCTATTGGGAGGGGGACAGTTTTTCCCCATTTACAGCGTCGTCACTTCAACCCTGGAGCAGAGGAGTGAATAACCCTTGGAATTTTAATAGGGAACTGGGGGCGAGTCACATATCGTTTGAAAGATCTCTAAACCACGGTCTGATTTTTTTTTAATTCAAGTGAACCATATCAAATTTAGAGTTGAAGCTACTTACTTTATTCTAATGTTAACATAAGCTCAAAATGGGCATTTCCAGCTTCCATGCAATAATAGAGATTCTGCTGAAAACGTTCTCGAACATTGTGGAGCATTTCTGGAGTGATTTAGCGACATTCATTTGTCATGCAAGAGAACTACAGTAAATTCTGCTTTTCAAATGACTCCACAAAAAAATTTAACGGCGAAAGGTCTGGTGATCGTGGTGGCCATTCAATAGTGCCCCGCCTCCTAATCCAGTTGAAATATTAACAGATCCACCCGATAAATGTGGCCATTTTCGATAATATCAGAGAGAAGGGGATTGATAGTATCTTCCAGAAGCTTCAGATACATTTGTCCGATTGAATTGCTTTCTAAAAACAATGTGGACGTTGAGTATGCACTTGAAATGTGAGGATTTGAATCAGCCCAATAGCGACAATTATGGCGATTAACTGTGCCATTTAGGAAAAAAGAACATTCACTGAAGCAAGTGTTGAAAACAAAATGTGGATTTTCCACCGCTCGTTCACTAATCAACTCGCAAAATTGCAAGCGTCGATCGAAATCATCTTCATTCAGTTCTTGCGTTAATTTGATCTTGTTAGGATGCATTTTGTGGATTTTCAAAATACGCCAAATGCTATTTCGTGACACCCCAAAAACAAATGCCGCTTTTTAATCTATTGTTGCAATTAATTTGTCCGCTTTTTAATCTATTGTTGACAAATTAATTTGCATAGACAAATCAATTAGGATAGTCATCATTTAACAAACAAAGTCCACATCGGACGAAAAAACTTCAGGTATATAAACAGTTACAGCTAACCCTTGTCTTTAGATTCAGTATCAATTTGCTTCTCCTGAAGATGCTAACCTTGTTAGCGAAACGCGCGTCGAGTACAAAAATATCAGTTTGGTGTTAGGGTAATTGATCTTTGAAAAAGTTTTTAAAAATCGGTTTGCAAACCCACTCACTACCTCGCCTAACCCCACGAACACACGGCACTGATAAAGAAATATTGTGAAACGGACAAAAAATTTGTATTTAGCCAGTTCAGCTAGCCGAACCTCTCCTCAACTGCATTTGATAGCACGTTCACTAACTATCTGGGCGACTAGGGGCTACAGGCAAGAAATGTTTATGACTGTACTCTTATTTATATTGCCGTTCCAATTGGGAATGGATAGACTATTATAGTCCTCAGAGGAGAACTAAAAAATTAATAAAAAAGTAGCATAAGAAACAAATGGAAGAGTTTCAAATACATTCCAACTGAGCAGTGCCATACAACAATTTGTTGCTATTAACAATATTGGAGAAGTTAATTATCGTAAAGAACTCTTTCAAATACGTCCAAATTCAAAAAAATGTACACCATTGTTTAGAGAATTCCAAGATCTCCAACGATGTGCAACTCGCCCCCAGTATCCTATTAAAATTCAAATTTGTTTTTTTTAATCTGTTTTTTTCTAAATCTGTTTTTCCGTTTATCAGCTGTCGCTCCCATACGAACGACAACTCTCAGAAGTTGAGAAACTAGGGCGAGCTAAGGACTAACGAGGTCTTACCTTTTCATGTGTGATTCCTAACATGGATTCCAAGGGTTGTTCACCCCTCTGCTCCGGGGTTGAAGTGACGATGCTGTAAATGGGGAGAAAAACTGTCCCCCTTCCAATAAAAATCGCCCTGTCTGAGCGTTTTTTCGGATTTGCAAAATTAGTACTCAAAACCACCATGTCAAGTTTTCGATGACCCACCCTGTATATGCACATTGAATTATACAAAATCCAGCATCTTCAGAGTATGCTTAGTGATAGAGCTCCATACATGAGAACGATACTCCAAAAAATGTCTGATCTGAGCTTTATAAAGCATCAATCACAACACAACAAAGTTTTTGTTTCGGGGTTGAAATTAGATGATTTTAATGTATTTCCACGTGTTAAAACCGAAAGTGACCATAAAAATTATATATTANTGCCAAGATATATTGGTATCTATTTTAACCCCCAACAAACTTATTCAAGCAGATAGCGGAATTGTCTGTCCTCATAGCAAATCGACTGGTCTATATAGTTATTTGAAAAATTTGTGTACCACTTTCTGGAAATAGGCGTAACACGACCAATCTTCCAACAATGAAAAACATTGAATTATACGAAAGCAAATGCTCCTTTGAAATTTGACAGGATATTCACACCTCTACCCACAGTAACTTTCTGAAATTCATGAATACAAATATTACCGCGTAATGGTTGGCCTGGGCCATAACATCAGCAATCTGCGCCCATCTCAAACGGTCCTCCAGAGTCAGTTGGTACGGAGGGGCCCCCACAACTGGAGTTTTCACTGTGTTGCTAGCCGTGGCCATATATCCGAAGACAGGACTGCCAACTGCCGCCTTGTGTTCTCTACTCCACCGACGACTGTGAAAATAATAATAATAATATCAAAATGGTGAGCAGGCTTTCACAGCCAGTGTCCAACCGTAATACTATGTTGAAAAATTTGGACCTCACAAGGAATAATATGAAGAATTAAATGTTTCTTTTGGAAATTATTATTTTTACAATTTTTCATTACTAACTATGTAACAATAACAACAAATATTAAATAACATTAACATCTAGACTAACGAATTGCGCTAAATTAAGTGTTGGAAATGGCCTTCTTCGGCTTCAACACAACCGTCCAGCCGCCGCATCATTAAATTTCGCATTTTTCAAAGAAACATTCAATTCCCCATATTATTCCTTGTGAGGTCCAGGGATATGCAATTAGGTCGACTTGTTTTTTCTTAAAAACTAAGCAAGATACGAAAAAAATTCAGGAGACAAAAAAGTTGTATTTCTATTTGCTCATTTTTAAGTCAAAAATATTCGTTGAAATCCCGCTCGAGACGCCACTGGACTTAATAAATTGAATCACGTTCGCGCTGAATTAGCTCCTTGATGTTATAAATAACATTGCCAAATTTAACACCCTGTATCTTGAGAACGAAGGATTGGCGGACCCATGTTCATATAAACATTTCGTCTTGAAATTGCCTAAAGAATCGTCTGTTAAAATTATGGTACATACTATGTATATTATATTTTCGCGAAAAATAACAGTTCAGTGTCATGTCGTCGTTTGTGACGTCATGTTAGATTAGAGTACATGTAAACACTGGAATTTCTTTCATAAATTTGGTAATAACCGTTATTAAATATGAATTCGAAAGTGTATCGGTTGTGTGCAGTTCCTCAGTGTGTTTATGCATCAATCAAAACTCCGCACAAGTTATTTGTGTTCGTCCCATACAAAAAAACAACAAGAAATTTGTGACTTGAACCTGCAAGACGAGATTCAACGGGAATATTGCCCGGTATTCAGCTTTATTTTCGTGGAGATCACTTTGACGTAAGTATCCACCTTGATTCGTAGAATATAAACCAGTATTTTCTTGTTTGAGGATTAAATTCAGTAATAAACAACTTTTTTGAGGTTAGGTTTCATCTTTCGTATCTTTCGCCCTCATTATTTCACTTCCAGCGGGCACAGATTTCCTCCGCTTTTCAACTGTACGTTAGGATATGATTTCACGAACAATGGTTTCGCTTTTTCACTTCGAAACAATTGTTTTCTTCAGTCTTAAACTTCATCGACACTTTGAAGTATAGTTTTGATTTCAATCTACAAAAACTTCTCAAAATAGTAGGAACTGAAGACAAATTTGAACATTTGAATTATTGGCCTCATCTATCGTGAATTTTCAGCGTTTTTGCCACAAAATCTCACCTCCACATCACTAGACAGACCAACGTCAATCCAATGATTATAATTGCAGCAATACTGGCTCCTATGGCTACCCCCAATACTTCTCCATCCAGCTCGCACTGCGTGCCATAATAATTTCCGGAACAGCTGCAAAAATATGGACGTTGAAAATAGTTCTAGTTAAAAATATGACTAACAATTACAACAAATACTTCACACTAAATTATCTGAAACTGCGCAGAACTCATGAACTTTACATTCCCGAATATATAGTGTGATCAAATTCAAGTCAACAATTAATGCACCTTCTCACTAGTCATTGCTGCTTGTTCATACTTTTTTGGGCAAAACCAACACCGCAATCATGCCTCAGCCACCATATCAACCAGATTTGGCAACCTGCGACTTTTTCCTGTCTCCAAGATTGAAGGGGCCCTGAAAAGATGGCGTTTTGCGGCGAATAAGGAGATAAAAACCCCAGATTACGGCAATGCGATTACCTTTACTCCTGTCGTGTCCTTTAACCCACTCCAGGATAATGTTATTAGCTAGAGAGGCTTTGGCTAAATATTGATGACACTCTAGTACTAGCCCTGAGGTAAGACGTTTTCTGTTCAAGGCTAATAGGTCTTGGCTGCTGTCAGTGCAGGTTGTTATGTTTTTGCCAGAAATTCCTTTCCTGGTTACCAGCCAGTTCTGTTTGGACCACGCTGGTATTTCTTCCCATTCCCGACTCAATCCTTATGCTTAGATTCTACCCCAATTCTACTACAATTCTACTTACACGCATACTTCTTGGCCGTTCTGGTACCTGCACTGCCCTCTGTTGTTGCAGTGTTGTGGAGAGCATTGTTCGCAATGTCTTCCAGCTCGATGTTTGTTGTCGGCCCAAGGGTCACGGAACCCAGTAGCACATTCACAGCGGAAGCTGCCGAAGACGTTGACACAAGTCGCCAAAGAGTGACAGTCGTGAAGATCCGGAGACGAACATTCGTCCAAGTCTGGAAAAAAATCGTTACTTGTTACTCCAAATCATTACACAACTGCTAAATCGAGAAGTAAATAAAAAACAACAGCTTGTTGAAGTCATTTATTAACTACACTGAGATTTATTGCCAGCAAACAGAAACAACCACCGAATCCACTTCAGTACTTCAGTATTTGATGGTAGCTGTGATGGGGAAAGACCGCCTCAATCCCATACACTTCTCCCTGTCGATGAAGAGAGCGTTGACTTTGTTGTGCAGGTCGCTTTCCAGATTTGCCCTCGTCTTCAACAGCTGCTGATGCTGAGCTTCGGCCTCTTGTAGCTTCCTATGGAGTGTTTCGATATTATCCTGGAGGTCTCTGACCTCATTAACCAGTCGATCTTGGGCACTATCTCTGCAGAGCTCCACTTCCTTGCGGTGAGTCCTTGAATCAAAAAAGAATTTAGAAAAAGGTTGGTCAAGGTTTCTCAACCATTTTCTTGTCACCAGTTCAATAAATCCAACACTGCCCTACTAACAATCTACCTGGCCTCCAAGCGAGTATGAGCGACCTTCATCGGGTCGCTCTTGTCCAAAATTGCCTTCTTCAACAACTCGATGTTCTTCTCCAAAGTGAACAGCTCTTGCTGAATCTTTTGCAGGTACATTTGTAGCTTGCTCTTCGCCTCCAGAGTTTCTGCACTTCTACGAGCTAAAGCATTGTTGGTGTTGCTCCACGCATCCCAGACTTCTTGGGAGCAGGTGTTCATGAGGTTTTCGATATCCGAACGCATCTGAGCAGACTTGCCCCTAAACAAAATTCAGAGAAACTCCTTCGGAAACCTTCGACAATATCTAGTCTATACAAAGCCACTTCGGATAGCTGAATAGAAAACGTATGTATCTGGAAACTAGTTGATACCTCTCACATATTAATCAGACCTCGTATGAGGTCCACGCCGCCCATGCCATACAAAGGAACTGCCGACGTTCGGTAACTATTTAATTTTTATGACATTCGAATTGACTTCGCATATACTATACACGTAGGGGAATGCTTATTTTCAAATTGTAATAAATACAGGGTGTGACTAAATAAGTGTACACTTATTCAGTGTACACTTATTTATAGAAATGTGGTAGACTTATGTATAGAAATGTGGTAATTCACCTTTCTGACTGTGATCTCTGTACGATCCTGTTGCTGTTCGTTGCCCACGTGACTGTCGTGCTTACAGTAGGATCAAATTTTTCGATGCCGCCATAGTAATTGATGCCTTTGGAAGTGTTGTTGAGCTGATGACACATGTTGTCGATGCCGAGAGCAGAATCTTTGCTCTGAACGTCTGTCTCTAACTCGTTCTGAGCAGCCCTGTTGTTGCTCATTTGGTCTTGGACCTTAATAATAGTGTTGAAGGTTAACAAAACGGTATATATTCATAGAAATCGAGATAACCAGAATCACAAGGGTTACATCATCAGTTCTTTAGTCCAACAGCAGTTTATACAAAAATTATGTTTGACTTTACTTTGAATCCATATCCAACAGTTACTTCTTCTTTATTTGAACTGTAATTGTGTGTCAAAATTGACTTCGACTTTGTTTTGACTTCATTTAATATTACTATGTATATCCTTGACTCTAACTTATTTTGACTTTGAATTGTTACTAATTCTACATTGTATTTATCTCTATTAGATTTTGTATTGTATGGCCTGCCGTTAACTACAAGTATTACTACTACTTTGACACTTTTAAGGGTTTTTATAAAACTCTTTATGGGGAAAATCATAAAATAAACTTTATTGATTAGTTTTAATTGAGATTTTCATCAAGTATCGGCCAGTTCTATACAATTATTGAATAACTGAATTTTGACTCTGACTATAAATTTTTGACTTTGACTTCTGTTCAAACACTGTTTGACTTAAACATATACTTCTGTCATCGACTCAGTTATACATATATATTTCCTAGATATTGTTCTAACTCTTTTGTAAAAATCGTTCTGTGAAGTATATGTGATGTATTTTGAATAATACTTCAATATCAATCTTAAAGAACTGAATTTTGCCTCTGACTTTGACTTTGACTACTTTTTCAACACTGGTGAAGCTTATGCTTTTGCCATTGACTCAAATATGTGTAGATTTCTTAAACCGTTTTAATTATTTTGTAAAAATCGGTCTGTGAAGTATATTTGCAAATGTATTTTGAATAATACTTAAGTATTAGTCTTGAAGAACTGAGTTTTGACTTTGACTTTTTGACTTTGACTACTCTTTCAACACTGGTGAAACTTATGCTTTTGCCAGTGGCTTGAATATGTATAGATTTTTCAAAAACGGTTTTGATTATTGTAAAAATCGTTCTGTGAAGTATATTTGCAAATGTATTCTGAATAATACTTCAATATCAGTCTTGAAGAACTCAGTTTTGACTTTGGCTTTTTGACTTTGACTACTCTTTCAACACTGGTGAAACTTATGCTTTTGCCATTGACTTGAATATGTATAGTTTTTCTAAACTGTTTTAATTATTTTGTAAAAATGTTCTGTGAAGTATATTTGCAGATATATTTTGAATAATACTTCAATATCAGTCTTAAAGAACTGAATTTTGACTTTGACTTTGAATTTTTGACTTTGACTACTTTTTCAACACTGGTGAAGCTTATGCTTTTGCCATTGACTTAAATATGTATAGATTTTTCAAACTGTTTTAATTATTTTGTAAAAATTGTTCTGTGAAGTATATTTGCAGATGTATTTTGAATAATACTTAAGTATCAGTCTTGAAGAACTGAGTTTTGACTTTGACTTTTTGACTTTGACTACTCTTTCAACACTGATGAAACTTATGCTTTTGCCATTGGCTTGAATATGTATAGATTTTTCAAAAACGGTTTTGATTATTTTGTAAAAATCGTTCTGTGAAGTATATTTGAGTATTTCAAATCATTTAGATTAAACTTATGCTTCTGCCATTGACTTAAATATGTATAGATTTTCTGAACTATTTTAATTATTTTGTAAAAATCGTTCTGTGAAGTATATTTGAGTGTATTTTGAATAATACTTCAATAGCAGTCCTAAAGAACTTAATTTTGACCCTGAGTTTGAAGTTTTGACTTTGACTTCTCTTTCAACACTGGTGAAACTTATGCTTCTGCCATTGACTTAAATATGTATAGATTTTTCTAAACTGTTTTAATTATTTTGTAATAATCGTTCAGTGAAGTAGATTTGTAGATGTATTTTGAATAATACTTCAATATCAGCCTTAAAGAACTGACTTTTGGCTTTGACTTTGAATTTTTGACTTTGACTACTTTTTCAACACTGGTGAAGCTTATGCTTTTGCCATTGACTTTGAATTTTTGACTTTGACTACTTTTTCAACACTGATGAAGCTTATGCTTTTGCCATTGACTTGAATATGTATAGATTTTTCAAACTGTTTTAATTATTTTGTAAAAATTGTTCTTTGAAGTATATTTGCAGATGTATTTTGAATAATACTTAAGTATCAGTCTTGAAGAACTGAGTTTTGACTTTGACTGTTTGACTTTGACTACTCTTTCAACACTGGTGAAACATGCTTTTGCCATTGACTTAAATATGTATAGATTTTTCAAACTGTTTTAATTATTTTGTAAAAATTGTTATGTGAAGTATATTTGCAGATGTATTTTGAATAATACTTAAGTATCAGTCTTGAAGAACTGAGTTTTGACTTTGACTTTTTGACTTTGATTACTCTTTCAACACTGGTGAAACTTATGCTCTTGCCAGTGGCTTGAATATGTATAGATTTTTCAAAAACGGTTTTGATTATTTTGTAAAAATCGTTCTGTGAAGTATATTTGAGTATTTCAAATCATTTAGATTTAGACTTCTGTCATCGACTTATATATGTGCATTTTTTAGAAATCGTGTTGATTCTTTTATAAAATCGTTCTGTGAAGGACATTTAGAGATTTTTTAGTAATTTTGATTCATACTTTGACATCAGTCTCAAATAACTGAATTTCAACTCTGAATTTGAATTTTTGACTTTGACTGCTGTTCTAAGACTGTTTGATTGAAACGTGTGCTGCCATTTTCTAAGGATTATAGAGAACTGGGCTTGATACCTTGTTGTAGAGACACTTGAGGCGCTTCTGGTTGTTTCGAAAAATCTCAATTTCTCTAAGAAGTGACTGCTCAGCAATATCGTGCACCAGATCTACCCCTTGTCGTTTTTCTCGATGATAAAGGCATTCTTGGGCAATGTGGAGGGGTCCTTCAATGTCGTTTACTGCTTTCTTGATTGCTCTTCTGGCATCTTGAAGGGAAGCTGAAGAAAATCAATGAAAAGTATGGAAAAGGTTTCCCAATCATTACGAATCATACCAGTTATTTTATCTCAAGTTGGGAATGTTGGAAAAACTCAAAATAATTCATGGATAAGTGAGAAATTGAAATATGAGTTTGGGAACAATTTAAATAAACTGAGTAGTGGAAATAACAATTGAATGATACACTCCCACTTGAAATATGTGGGTTGCAGAATTCTGCATCTTCTTTTGCACATTGATCAACAAAAACCTTTCAACAAACCTGCTTCAATCAACAACCTCTCCAACTCCGTCCTAACCTCATTCCTCCAAAACGTAGTATCCGTTATCCTCTCCCCCAGCCTCCTCCCGGACTCTCTCTGTCCCTGAGTCGTCGTTTCGTCCGTTTCCCTCATCACTCTCACGAAATCCCCCCTCAGCCTTTCCGAATAGTTCCTCCCCGTATCGGCCTCGTTGTAGAAGCGCAGGTTGTTCTGCATCCACTCCAGAGGAGTGTACCTGGTGTAGAGAGCTGCTCTAGCTGCATGGGCCGGGTTTCTCTCGAAGCCGGTTACTAGGTTGGGGAACTTCAGCGGTTGTGTGGCCATGCCGTACGGGGTATAACAGGGATCTAAGTAGGGTAGGTATGGGTTAGTGGGGTGGTCAAAAATGTTCGGTTCCTTCTAAAACGAGCGCGATTCACCAATCGAGTTGGCCTCTTCAGGATATGATGAAAACTCGTCTCATGTTTTCTTCATCTCCTGAAAAGCTTGTTTAGATTTCTATAAACAATGTTCATTGAATGTGTCACTGCTGAATCAGCATTTGAATTCGGCTATAACATATACTGAAGTTTATAATAATCGCCATTTTCGTGTGAATCAGTTAAGATTTCAGTCCTTTTTGACTTTTACTGGTGCAAACCAGCAAGTACAATCTAAACCCCGCTACAAACGAACTATGCTAAGAAATATTTACCAATCACTGCATTTGTAGCATGCTGACTAGGGAGTGGTGTCACCTCTATGTTTTCGTACCCCATTGTAGGCCTCCAGGGGTGGGGCTTTGGCGTCTGATAGTACTGCCCCAATCTGACGGGCATGGGGGGGCCTGCAACCTGTTCCATGCAAGGGGTGGCAGCTACCGTGCTCCATGGTTGCAGTTGGGAATAAAAAACGGTTTCACTCACCTCTGGCATTTCAAAAAAATTGATTAAATGAACATCAGTGTCATTCTGACGGATAATTGTCATACCTGACGTTGACTTGGTGACAGATATGCATGTTTCTGGACATTTATTCATTTGGACAATTCATATTAGAATATTGTGAGGAATCACCTCCTGAAGTTTGTCAAAGTACTTTTGAATCACCCTGTACATACTCAACCATTCTGCATCATTGAGCTTATAGAAAATCTTGGTAAAAATATGGAGGTCGCAGCTAAAATCCTCAAACCCCAAAATGTTTTTCAAAATAACAAACGAGTTGTTATGTTGACTTGTAACTAAGTGGCCCAAAGTTCATCAGAATATTTGTGGAATAAAAAAACAAATATCTCGTGTACTTACTTTGTTCATGGCATTAATGCCAATGATACATGTATATCAAAGAAAGGAAAGAAAAAGAATCACCTCAAAGGCGCTGCTTTTTTCCCTCCTCATAAAAGAGGACATATACCTCATCGCTCACAAGTGATTTTGGCGAAATTGGGAAAACACGTGTGAATCGTTGTATTCATGCCACGTGCCACTATATGGGTGTCTGCAATATGCTGTGTAATGCCCGTTGTAGTAGTCCCACTGTGATTTGAAAGTGCATATAGATTATAACGACAAGGAGCCACATTGCCAATTCACTCTGCATGAATCTAATTGCTGTGAAAATACGATACAGGATGCAGGACAGACTGAGAATGGTTGAAACAATGAACGGTCGAAATATAGGAAAATCTCGTGAACGGTTACTAGGGGTGCAAGGGGGAAACGAAGCGGCCACAGATCCGAATTCAGTGCCGCCCCGCTTCCCCCGGGTATTCGTTGGGTGTAGGCCGCCATATTGTTTTTTAAAACATAAAAGTAAGTATTTTTCTTCTGGCATTACCGCATATATTATCTATTATTTTTGAATGAATGTATTGAGTTTGTGGTTGTGATTATCATGACGCTTGTGGAATAAGGAATACCAACTATTTTCAATGTGTTATAATTACTGCCGTAACTATTAACTATATTGTACCAAAAGTGGGGTTAGGGACGGTTGAAACATTTTTGTAAGTGCGGTTTTAACAGAAAATTGTTTGTGGATGCCGAGAATTCGGGTAAGGAAGATTTCCAGCATGTCTAGCATATGAAGAGGTAGAAGCTGGAGATTCACTACGATATAAACCACTGTTCTCTGTTAAGATACATTCGAAAACGAGATGCGTCCGGCAAAGACGATGAAGGTATGGGGTATGAAGCACACAATTATGTTTTTAATGAAGATCAAAATATTTGATTTGATGTGGACTGTTTTAATCTGTAGCGACTGTTCAGGTCAGTTGTTCTCCTGGTAGCTAGATGATAACTTTTGGTAAGTTTTTCACGTTTTTTTTGTTGAACATTCGAGCAAATAACATGTTTCCATATTTTTGTGTCTACCAATAATATATTTCAGTGATTTTCATCCACTAATCGAATCCCCTCTGCTGTACTCACCTTGCAAGTTGGAGACCGATCCAGGAGGACTGTCGACCCACAAAGCACTTTCTCCGACATTGTTACTTCTCCGTTGTATAACTCCCAGCAGATGGCGCTGAATATCGCCTCTGACTGTCGGTCTCGACGTATCGGCGTTCTCGTCCATCTGCAGGGTGAGGTTGACGAAAACTCCCGCTTGGCCTTGAGATCTGTCGCCTCTGTATATCCCGTTCACTTTGGCGGCAAGGAATTCATCGCTGAAGGGGGTCATGGACATGGCTGATTCCAACTGAAAATAGGAGGACATATTAAAAATGTTAGCTGACCTGATAACCAGTCCCAAGTGACTTGAAGATTGAAGTTGCTGAGTCAACTTTTTGAAAGTGCAGCTCCCGTTTTTGAAAGTTGATGAAAAAGTACCACAAGGGTCGGTGTTGGGGCCCCTACATTTCAGTCTATACCTTCTTTGTTACTCACAGTACTATTATGCGTATGGTTCACAATTATATTTGTAGTTGAAACTTAAGTATCTTCACTTTTCTTTATTTCTAGTAAGATCTAAGAATTATCAATCCAGCATCAACAATTATGTTATTTTTATTCATTCAATCTTTCAATGACTTACCGCCCTCTCAGCTTCGTAGGACAGCTGCAGATAGCTGTCGCTGTTTTGATCTCCAAGTTCGTTTGCCCAAACCACCTTTCTATCGTATAGTTTATCAACCCTCAATGACAGAAGGATCGACACAATTTTTCTACAAGGGTCCCTGTGCTTTCTTCTAGCGGTGCCAGGTCTGCAGTGACAGGCGCTGACTCCTAATTCTGTTTTGCAAATCTCATGTTGAGAGGAGTCACATGTTGTATCATCTCCAACTATGCAGGTGTCGATTCTGGAAGGGAAGTAGTTCGAGAATATAAGGTTGAATCGTGTTAACATTGATGATATATTAATATTCGGAGACCATGTAATTTAGTAGGAGAAAATGAACTCTTGGTGATCGTTTAATTCAAGTATTTTCATTGGATCTGTCGAAAAATCCTTGTGGAATCTTATTCTTACCTTACTGGAGGTTGACTAGGCCTAGGTCTGCCGTACAAAGGTCTTCGAACGGTGGGCTTTATTGATGCATGCTTCTTGATTTTCTCGTTTTCAACAACAGAATAAGCCGTACCGGAAACCTAAAAAAAAATTAGTAATTATGGAAATAACCGTAAAAATCATTTTTCAAGGACAAATTACAAGCATTTTTTTTCTGATTGATTCAGCCGTTACTTGACGAAGATCCATAGTAATTTCAAAAACTACACCTCAACGATTTGATCTCCACAAACTTGTTCCAAGTTTTTGAGAGGCAGCCTTTGAAATTCCGACGATATTATTGTGTCAAGGCATATTGGTGTCCATGCAGTTGTTCAAACGTTCATGAATAATTGAATTTATAATTACCTGGTTTTTCGCAGTAGTAGTAGGCTCAATCATAGCCCCTAGAGATGTGGAAGGTGTAGCATCCCCAAAGAGATTCAAATACGTTCGTTTTCCATCGATTGAAACGAATCCTTCGTCCCCTATTGAACTGGTGATGACATCAGGTTTGGTATCCATGTGAACTTGTTCGATATCAACTGGAAATTAAGATACGCTGAAGCAATTCATAGATAGTCCCACAGTGCCCCAGTATATATCACAAAAATCAACAAATTCTATCAGAGTACTTCAAAATATATAAATACAGACCTGGTATAACGTACGGTTTACCCTGACCAGCAGAAGATCCCGGACCCTGAATGGCTGAAACCGTTATGTCGAAAATGTCTCCGATTTGTCCTATAACAGGTCTGGTGACTATGGGTTGCCTATGAATTCCTCCAGGTTTGTATTCTGTATCGTCCAGTACTATGCCAGGTCTAGGTCGGTATTGGTAGTAGGGGAAGCTTGAGGTGGTCGACGTGTCATGTGACGAAGAAGTGGCTGAAATAATTTATAGTAGGCAAGGCTCGGCATATCATTTTTCATCTGCTTCACATAAAGCAACGATTACATCAAGAATCAAAGGAAGAGGAGTGGTTTGGTCTTAGAAGTGATTATATACACATTTTGAGTACATTGAAACCTCCTCTTGATTTGGAAACATTATTTTGTCAAACTATTCATTAAAAAAACACTGAATAGTGATATTTTAACTGAACAGTTTTACAACTGTACCTGAAGAGCTGCTTTGAGACGAAACACCACCAAGAGTGGAAATACCACCACCTTTCGACGTAGAACTCATCTCTGGCAGTTTCTCAGTTTCAGTACTAGCAAGACTAGTGCTTTCCCCCAGTAGATCCTCCTTCATAGTTTGAACAACTTCTTGAATAGAAGACTCCAGCAGGGGAATCCCAGAACTGCTGTCTGTGCTAGTAGTATTCACGAAGGAAGTATTGAGTATGTTCGAGCTAAATCCACTGGTTAACGTTCCAGTTACAGACTGGGCTGAGTTTTCTTCAACAGGGGAAGAGGTGGTGGTTGAAGAGGTAGATTCTGTTTCATGAGTGGAAGTAACAGGCAGTTCCGTTTCTTCAGAAAGCGATGGATTGGATTCCTTTGTTATAGCGGGATCTTCTGTTTTCGCTTCAGTGTTGAAAGTCGGTGTCACTATAGTTGTTTTGCTAGTGTACTTGTCTAGTTTAGATACCTGCGAAAAGTCAGAAAACTGGTTTGAATTTCAATTTTACACTAACAGAGTGTTCACATGAAAAAACTAAAAATAGATGAAGTTGTGAATCACAATGACCGAAGAGAACATCAAGTAAAAACAGAGTCTGTCAGAATCAAAATTAAAAACAGAGAAAATCTGTGGTATAAATTATGATGTATGTAGAGACAGAGATGAATAGGAAATCCATATAACTCCAGATGAAGATGTCAGAAGAAAAATGAAAACGAAAAACCGCAAAAGTATTGGAAGAAAGAGCAGAAATCGGAGAATATAAAAGTCTACAGAATGGAGTCCGAAAGGGAGAAGAAATAGAAGTAAACCAAGGAAAGTATGGATACATGAGGTCTATGTATCTCTGCCAAAGAAAAACGAAACCCAGAAAGAAATTGGTACACCCTGATACCAAGGCCAAACACTCTTGACCATCAATCTCGTCTAAAAATATACTGAATTTCTGTAATATGCTATTTGGAAGAATGAAGAGGATTGTGATGAACCTGATCACTTCTCCAGATCCTCATCCAAAAATAAGTTCGAAATACAACTACTTCAGCACTCACCTTTTCCTTATTTTTCTCAAAATCCAATATCTCTTTATCTATCTCCGAAGTATCTGCAACAGCATCCGTAGTCGTATCCACGACTTCTGTAGAATTCCTCTCCCCCACCTGGTCTCCCAAACTGCCCTCCTCCATGCCGGCTCCCTCTTCCCCGGTAGCAGAAAGATGCGTCCCCATATCCAGGGTCAAGATATCATCCATAGGTTTCTCGGAGGTCAAACTAATCATATCAGAAGAGTAGGAAGGCATCGTTTTATACGGGGGAGGCCTCCTATTGGGAGGTCTCCTGCGTTTCCAAGGAGGGAGAGTTGGAGGTCTATAGAACCCGGGCCTTTTGTTGCTGTGGTCGGAAATGGGGATGCTGGTTCCTGGACCAGTGAATGGTCGCACTGGTGACATGTTGGGCACCGGCACATCGAATGGGTAGGGTGTTGGCATCCTTGTGGGAGTTAGAGGCGGGGGCATTTGTCCTTGAAAATAATGGAAATATTAAAGAGCTTGATTCGATACATTTGTGAAATTTAAACATCTATAGGTGTTACCAGGGTGGTCCTAGAGCTACCCGGCCTGACCTAGAGATGGCGTTGGTTGTTGGGAATACATCACTGTGATAGAAAGTACATAATCTACAAAGCATATGTTCAAAGTTTGAAGACGCTGCGTTGTTTAGTATTTGTTTGGCAGCCATAAATAATGAACGTTATCGGTGAATTTGTGAAAATGGAGAGAATTGTTCGTCGTTATGTTGTACAATGCTTTCATTAGAAAGGCTTCAGCCAAACCAATATAGAAGCTGAACTGGATTCTACTCTGGATAAGTCTGCTTCTCCGTTAACAACCCTAAATTATTGGGTAGCAGAGTTTGAATGAGGCTGCACGAGCTGCTAAGACGATAATCGCAGTGTTTGGGAGATATCTGATGTGAATAATTATCATTGACCATATCTCTCAAATCTACTATTTCATGACATTTCAGCATTCAATTGAAAAATCAAATGTGTTATGAATGGTAGCAACTCTAGTCGAAGGATTCTTACCTAGTGGTGGGGGAGGTAGAGGAGCTGGAACGTCAAAATCTGGTGGTAGAGCAGGCAAGTCTGTTATCCTTGGTGGTCCTCTATTATTTATTCTCGTTGATAATGGTCGTGGAGGTCTTCCTAGTCCAGGACCTGTATTTGCCTGCACATTCACATTACCTAAAATGAGTGAAAAATGAAATAGAATTTCATAGTCGCTTATAGGAGTCGCAATATGTCAAAAATGCATTGAAGAGTAAAGCTGTCATAGTCTATGAATTGGAGTATGAATTTTGTTGTTGTTTTTAATAACATGAACAAGCTTCGTTCAATACAAAATAACAGAACTCGTTTCCTTCAGTTGAGAATCAATGACAATCATTATATTTCTTTGAAATAAAAGGTCTAATGCATATGGTGCCCTAAAACTTTGAGGTAAAGAAGTACAAGTGTTGGGGGAGGTTAAATATCTGGGAGTAATCCTAGATTCCAGACTGACCTGGAACCAACACTTGGATAGGATAAAGAGGAAAGCGGAGGTAGCACTGATGCTCGCCAGACGCACCTGTGGATAAATATGGGGGCTAAAAACAGACATGGTATATTGGCTATACTCGATGGTGGTTAAACCCATCTTGGCCACCATGATCTGGAGGCCAAAGATGAAGCAGGCGACCGCCATCAACAAACTAGGCAAGGTGCAGAGGACAAGATAGACCTCCTTGGGACCTCCTTGGGAGGATGTACAATGGGTCACATGTGACCCAAGTGCTGTAAGCCTACCGTCCCTACTCTACAGATTCAGATATTGTTTAAGATTAGTGGTGAAACTTGATATCTACTTCAGAAGAATACTTCAAAATGATAAATTGGCCTGTAGCTACTCGTTTCCATTCAGAAACCTCAAACTGGTTTTAATAATTAATCAACTTCTGGAATTTTATTATAAATTATATTAACGTTACTGTTGCTGTCTGTGCTAGTAGTATTCACGAAGGAAGTATTGAGTATGTTCGAGCTAAATCCACTGGTTAACGTTCCAGTTACAGACTGGGCTGAGTTTTAATCAGCACAAGAATGCACCATATTAATATTCAAATATATCTCTAAAACACTTTTAAAACACACACAAACTAAACTCGATAAAAAAACGAATTTTTCTTACGCGAGCTGTCAGCTAAGAAAAAGTTAATACCCAATGTTGCAAAAATAAGCAGAATGGATCCGATATGACATACATTTTCAATGCCGAATAAACCAATAAATTGTGATATGGGTACTCCATTTACCTAAGAAAATGCATTATCAATTAAAATTTTCTGTAACTGTCCATTCATTTTTTTTAAGAATAAAGCCAGCAAACAAATAAATATACAATAATAAGATCGCTCAAATCCACGAATTAGGCATAAAAATGGACAATAATATTTTCCTTGGTAACTGATATCGAACAAGTTATATCCAAATATGATTCTAAATAGAATTAAACGAGCTGTATTTTGAGATGGTTTTCGAATGCTCATGAACCCTAATAAAATAAATTAATTATGCATGCATGCCCCCCACGAAAAATAAGAAATTCAACGTTACTGGTATATTAGCCATATTGTCATCCAGTCAGCCAGCGCCCTCTGTAGTGAATGTGACAATGTGCTCTTTCTAATGTCACCGGTTTCCACAAACTTCGTATTTTTGTTAAAATAATTTCAGAATGCTAGTTTTGTTGAAGCTGACTCCCGATAACTTAGCAAGAGTCCATTTCGAGATGATCGATGAACTTTACTTGAAAAATTTGCATTTGGTACCGAAATGAAGAATGAAAAATTGAAACGGTAGGTGGTATATTTAGTAGGTCCCTTTTATTTATAAGACACTCATTTCAGACGAACCCTATACAACTGTCAGATGTCAAATAGCAAATAAATCATTATTATTATTATTGTTATTCGAATGATGGAGTGTGGAATCAACACTTACCATTCAACAGCTTCACCAAACCCGTTATGATGTCCTGGATATCAGGGTTCGCCTGTCGTCCTTTGTCGAGTGGGGGAAATTGGGAAGCAAAATTCGTCGTCGTCATTGTCGCACTGGGGGTGATTTCTTGGGACTCCTGCAGAGGCAGTGATCTGGCCTGATGCGGAGCCCCATGACCTTCCCCCGAATGATTATCGGAAGTTTGGTGGGCGTCATTGGAAATGTACTGGTCCTGAGAATCGGATTATACGGGGTGAGGAACGATATAGAAATCCATAGAAGTCAAACAAAAATACGAGTAAAACGAGAAACAAAGAACAAACAAGGAGTTTAAAGTTCTTCGAACAAATGCTTCAACAAATGAATAGTTTGATGAATTTACTCACTGTTTTGGAAGGTTGGATGAAATGCCCCAATCTCCCAGACAACTCCACGTCATTACTGTCCAAGGCCTCCTCAATGTTTTTGAATATAAGTAGATCATCTGTTGCAGCTGTCTTTGATAAAATAGGATCAGCTGATCTTCGCACTCTGTTCGCTACAACTGAGGAGGAAGTTTCAATGGATTCATCAAAGCGTGCCGTTGTTTCCTGTAAGGATGGCTGGAGGATTTCATTGGGACCAGAGGTTTTGTCTCCTGACTCGACATCATCATCGAAGGGGATTTCTGCCGAATTTGGTGATATGAACGAGTTGGAGTAGGGGTCGTCTAGTGCTGTAAAAAAATAATCAATTATGTGACAGCTTTTACATACCGGTATTATCTTCCAATATTGAATTCCAAAAACGTATTTACGCAACCAAAGCCTCGTACGATGCTGTGGGGGGTAATATTGACCAAGATACCCTCCTAGGGAAGAACCATGACCAACGACCAACTTCTGCGGAGGAACTGAAAGGGAACAATAAAGTCGCGAAGGTCAAAAAGTTTCCTGAACATCATAAACATGAACATTATACACTGGTCGTTAGGTACTTCCCTAGAAGGTGAAAGCATGTTGTCGTCTTGATGATCCTGAAACAGGCTCAGGATCCACTGTTCTCGCAGAACCATCGCCCGATCAGTCTGCTGCGCCAGCAGCTGAGCTGGCTGAGCCGTCCTGTAAGTCGAGGACCGAAATGTTCTGCTTGACGAGCCATTCGGTTTCCGGTTTCGGGGCCATTCCACCGAGTTACAGGTTCTGAGACTGGTTGAAAACACCATCAAAGAGCTCTTGGACATTTCAAAGGCCTTCTACCGTGTCTAGCACGAAGGCCTTCTTCATAAACTACTCGAGTTCGGGTCAGGGTAGAGGACTCCCTGTCTCTCAATCAACAGAAAGTCCAAACTCAACTTCAAAAACAAGGTTTCAATTTGCAATACGACCTTCGAACTTGCCATGGTGTATGCTTCAGGCGTCTGAAAACAAATCGCATCGACTAATATCTCCATCCTGGAGAAACTGCAGAGTAAAATGATACGGATGATTATTACTGGAGTTCAATCCCAACACCAATGAGTTTAATATTTCTCTTGAAGGTGATCACTTCGTGATTGAAACACGTTTCGGGTGTGATGATGGGATTGAAATAAAGTAATATTCATTACTACACCAAAGGTTCCAAATAGTACAGCACAAGCTACGGATGATAGTGAATGCTGTGTGGTTCATGCGGAATAAAGACACCCATAGAAATTTGCAGCTGCCTTTTGATGAGCAGTCCAATCAGTCAAGGAATCGTCAATATCTCGATAACACGAAAACTCTGTAGACTGTACTGCTGTAGACCACTCCACTGGATTCAGCCCTATATTGAATAATGTAGTTCCTTTCATCATCTGTGTTGGACATCAGTTTAGGTATTTTTGAATTTGAATCGGGTGGAACGCCGTTTTTGACCACTGAATATTCTTTAGGGTAATGGCCATCTACTTCTTATGCATAAATCTTGGAAGCACCATCACAATCGCTCATGATATTCAATGAAGAATGCATTTTTTGGGTAATCACGCGAACTCCCACTTGTAGATGATTAGAACATACTGTTTCCTCACGATGGAATTTGATAGAAATCGTTAACTGGCAATGGCATCCTTCAGAATCATGACTGGTAGTACCACATATTTTGGAAAAAAATTATATGGAAATTCCTGAGCAATTTCAACTCGATATCGGTTATTTGCGCTTTTCATACCCAAAATGGCCTGGATGAAGATGAAAAAGTGGAATGCTCCAATTTAGATTCACCTTCCCAGTAACTATTATGAGCAGTTTACTAGTTAAATGATTTATTATTGTTATTCTTTATTTAAATTCCGCTGATCCTACCACCCAAGTGGGCTGGACCACTTTCCACTACCGACTGGGCCTGCCTATCGAAGAAATACTCACCTGAGGCGCATGTGTACATGCGCCATACTGCCAAAGGGGGGTTAAAGCGTCGCTCGCTGTAATTTCGGCAGTGCCCCCAGAAGCCCCATGCGACACTGGAGGGTAATTTTGACCGGCAGGCCCTTCGAAAGGGGTGATTGGATCAGGGGGTCCCGTCTTTTTGGTAAAGGACGAAGGTGGTTTTGTTGGCCGGTGAATAAAGCAGTTCGTACTGAGATAGTGACCGTGTTGATTTAGTCAGCTCCATCTTGTGGAAAAAATCCGAACGCACGTCGAGAAGAGCTCTGATGAATCTCGATATGAATTATTCAACTACCATATTAGCACCCCATCTTAAGGGATGGAATGGATTTGGATGGAGTTTTTGGTGCAAAGTTGTTTTTATTTTTTGTTAGCACCGAAAATTACTCAAAATTATACAGTATTGTAACAAGAAACTAATATTCAGAGATATCAAATAACAAAACTTCAAAATAAAATAGGTATTTTGGAACAAACTCATTAATTTTCTGGAGATTATTTTGGAGAATTATTTTGGACACCCAGAAAAGTCGTAGCAGACTTCTGATAATCGAAGTAAATCTCTCAGAATGTCTTCAAGGAGTACTGGCAATTAACATCTATCTGAAAACACATCACACAAACATTTGCAACATATGAAACTCTTCACAGCATAGTAAGGTTCTTTTTCGAAGAGATGGCGCCACCTACATTTTGGTAATTATCTCGCGAGAAGATTCCATATAACACAACACCGTTTTCAACATCGATGTCTGTGTGCGATGGACCCTGCTGGTCATATTACCCCCTCATAGGTCCCTGTTGATCAGTCCGAGCACAGAAGGTAACGGGGGGGCGCCTTCTGCGGTGGGTGTTGAACCCCAGGTTACCCACCCGGGTGTGAGCATCGATGAACAGGGTACCTGGGTAGTATGACAAGTGGAATATAATTAAAACATAACCTCAGCTCATCAAAAAATATCCAAACGGTTGGATGAAACAGAAAGGTATTTTGATTCATTTTTCTTCTCAAGTCCTGACATATTCCACTGGATCAAAGAAAATGTATTCTTGCATGGATTTACACTTATCAATTTTCATGACACAACGAATGTTGAAAGATTGAAGGAATTGATCCTTCAGTGTATCTAAAGACGTGACTGTTCTTAGAAGAAAGTAGCAACACTAAGTGACATAGCAATAGTAATCTGAAAATAAGATATTGAATCATGAGTTTCTTGTCACAATCTGCTTGCAACTTCAAAATGAAAACAAATTGAAAATAATAACTGTTTACATGTACTGCAATGCACTGAATGCTGCTGAAATTACAGCGTAGCAAGAAATGGATGTCATACTAACAAGATGGCTACCATCATCTCTCTGGATACACTCATTTCTGAAATTGGTGGGAAGACGTGCAACGGAAATGTTGTACAAGATGTTGAGTCAGGCATTAATTAGTGGATTCGAATTCACGCAAAGGTGAATTCAAATCAACCCAGCTTGTTCCCTGTGATAGTTGCAGAAAAAATCTGTGCAGTGGTGAAGCCTGTGGAAATTTAACAGGATCAGAAATCAAAAGTCTACAGCTGAAAACAATAAGGAAACTTATTTATGTGAAGACTGAATCAGGATTCTGAAAAGTACCTTCACTGATTGAACAGATAAATGATTTGAAGGCTAATTTTGAAAGATTGGCCAACAGCTCATTGCCTTCTCAGAACAAAGGCGCGAATACTGATGAGTCTTCAGAAGAGGTAATATCTGAACTATTAGAAAGACAGAAAAGGGAACGATCAAACAAAGAGGCAACGGGAATACTACATGAAAATCGAGAGTCAGCTGCAAGAAATGGAAAAAAATCCATAACCACTCAACAAGAGCGAGTAGCTCCCAAAAATTCCACCTTCCTCGAACTAATTTGACTAGTACGATGAAGTCTTTATTTTATAATGGTTTAAATGCGTATAACAAACTGCCACTTTCGTTGAAAGATTCAATAAATGATTATGAAACAATAAAGCAGAAAGAGGTCCCTGAATTATTCGATAATAAATATCCTAATCGTCAAAATTATAACAATAATTAACAGGTCACTAACAACATTTCAAAACGCTAAAAGACACATCCTCTCAGGTATCTCAAAGGGGAACTCCTTTTCATAATAAATGACGCACGAGATAAGTCCAGTCATATGCGATTTTGGTGAAATTGGTGACACATGTGAATCGTTTTATTTGTGCCACGTGGCAGTATAAGGGTGTCTGCAGTATGATGTATAATGTCCGCTATAAATAGACTCACTGTGATTCAAAAGTGCATATGGAATTTACCAACAAGGAGTCGCATTGTCTGCTGCATAATCGCTCATATCTAAACCATCTAGAGGAAATTCGATGGCAACATTAAACTCGCCTTTAAGTCTTTCTGTTAGAGAGAATCTTTATTTCTTCCCTTGCAACTCGAACTCGTCGGTTTTTCATGTCCATCCAAAGTTTCCTCTCTTGTGAAAAAATCCAAGCATTTTGACAAACTCAATTGGCCAATTCTGTGTGGTATGGTAACTGACACGTTTCAGAAAGAATCAATGTTACTGATGTGTGTCTACAGTGTGTCCACTTCATCGTGGATTTCAATTGACCAACAGAATTATCTTAAGAGTTAAATATACTCAAATATCTCGGCAATGATTCTTGTGCTTTTTCGCTATCGCTCAATTTTTCGTCAGTCTCCTTCAAGATCGATTTAGGATTCTCATCATATCTATCAACGTTATCATGTAAAACTTTCTAAAGATAACGAAAGAACTCCTGGGCATTGTTCCTGTTATTCTTTCAACTCAGTTGCTATAACATACGACGCAACTTCTACCGCCTATAGTTTGTTGGTTCTGGTTATTTGGTACTTTTTTGGCCAGTTGATAGATGGCGACATTTACAATCAAGCGATTGCAACTCGATACATATCGATAAATCCCACGTCTCTCAACAATATAGTCGTCCATTAGTGATTGGGCCCTGCTGATCGTCTAACTAGAGTATCTTCATTCCAGGCTTCACTCTATCGCTTGTACCAGTGTATTAGGATTAAGATTCTATTTTATAGTCTAAGGCGATTTTAAATCGTAATGATCTGAGGCAAATTAGATCTAAAACTTTGCTGCAACTTAGTTGCACCCCGTACTAGAACTATGCTTTAATTTTCAGAATTAGTTTTTAGAACTTAACGATCGAAGGCGGAATCCTCTGCAAGGATAGATTTAAAAATCTGCCAACACCAAAACAAGTGATAGAGTAAGCTAGAAGGTACTTTAGAAAAACGACCAGTGGTATTTAATCAA